TAAAGTGGCGCTTAAAGGGATACTTCAACGAAATTTGAAATATTCCCGTCGTGTTCAAAAATAGGTTGAATATGATCCACAATATCCGTAAATGACAATCGCACGTTTGTATTTTGATCCTGGTGGCTGTATTTTTTGTTATAAACGGCCCACTCTGGCAATCGCTCGGAGAAGGCCCAGCTTAGAGCACGTGACATCCAATGCAATCGTGACGTAGGTCGTCTCAAGACGAGCAAAGCTACGGCGAGGCTGACGTGGAGAGGATGGCCTAGTCGGTCCAGCCACCGAAGCGGCTGCTTTTGTACGAATTTTGAGTGAAGGGTTAATCTTCTATAATCTTCTAGGGGGATAATAGCGACTTCCGCGACACACAAAAGGGATTCTCGGGAAGAGGGGAGTTTCCTCTTCCCCCCTTCTCTCGTCGTGGCCGGAGATGAGACAACCTCCGTCACTAGCTGTCAAGGTTCCTAGACGTGCATTACAAACAAGGCGTTAGCGACATCCCCCAGGTGCTCTTTGCTAATCGTTTAATTCGTTTTAAAATTTCTTTCCGAGACTTTTTTAACAAGATATTGGTATGTTCCATGTGATACTGCTCTTTTGAACACATATAGACCAAAAAATGAGCGCCGAAATGTCGTTGTAGTATCCCTTTAAATCTAAAGCCCAGCTTCTTGAGCACCCGATGGAGGATTGCTTTGGACACACTAGGTAGGTTGTCCTCGTCGCCGAACCTACGCTTAATCTTTGCGACCTTGGGAATTTCATTACCACGGAACAAAAACCGTGAAAAATTCTTCTTAAAACTCTAAGGTCAAAATCGTAAAATTTCTTTTTTTCTCCCGCAGCCCTGGCTCCACCCCGAGATGATTTTTTTTTTTTTTTACTTTTTTTTGGTGAGACCACTTTGCCTCGCGCGTTGTACTGAGTTGCCCACTTGTAGAGAGCTCGGTTGTTGACACCCTTCCTAAGATGGAATCGGCGCTAGCACTGTTCACGCTTTCTCCCTTTAGCTTACTGAGCTATTTAAAGCTATCTGCTTGGCTCGCGTGGGATAAAAAGGTGCTTTCTCGCGATAGCGGCGCGGGGGAGATCCGATGTCAGCCATGGCGGCATAGCGGTGAGGAACACAATGAAATGCGTCCTCCGCGGCGCCCCAAATACAGTCCTTCGACGTATCTCTCTCTTGGGGTATATCCACTTTAATAATTATTCTTTTGCGTTTCGGTGACGCATTCTTTGAACTTACGCTGAAATGCTTGCGCAGAACCGAACCGCGGTGGCAAATTGGCCACTTAACAACCGAACTATATTCTTGAATGAAAAACAATATTGAGGCATTGAGACGGTTATCGTGCTATTTGAATAAACAAATACAAAATTTAAGACCATTTAAAATTTGTTTAAATGTTTTTGCACGCCTAAATTGTTCGACACTGAAAAAAAATCGAGAGAACCGGACTACAACTTGGCACTATGTTCTGGTGCGGACTGCGTGAGCCTGTTGACACCTCATTGCTTCCACTGTACTGCACAGTTTTAGTGAGACAGAGTATAGTCCACACTGCCCGGCAGTGTCAGAACTAACGCGTTACAAGTCACGACGTTACTGGTAACGCGTTAGCCTTTTGATGAACGTACTGACGTTACTCATTAGAATCCCAAATGACTAAAGAGTAAAGTGAATGCCGTTCTCTTTTTACGGTATACTCTATCAAACTACGTAGCCCGTTATTCGTTACTTTTGATTAAAAATGGCCGCATAATTGTTTGAAAACAATATAATTTTTATTCCGTACACTGCGTAAAATTGGCCGAGGAACCCCAACAAAGCTAGGTATAAACGGCGTCATTTCAAACTCCGGAAGACGCGTTTAACGTTCCCTCGACAGGGCCCAAAAACCGCGAGATTATCGCTGCGCGGAACCCCTAAGCGTCCTTAGGGCAGCCTTCGTATACACCAACTCATGTTTACAAACAAACCGGAGCGCCCCTAGCGGACGCCACCGGCGCCGCGCATGCGCGGTGGACGGTGGGCAACATGCGCGCCGTCGCCCATACACAAACCATTGCATTGCGTTGTTTTCGGCGTCGGTAGGAGTCCCCGTGCTCGTTTTCGCGTTGGAATTGTTGATTTTACGTCCTCCTAACAATGTCTGACTACTTGAGCGGCTTCAGCAAAATTAACGAGGCAATGCGTGGATAATGTGACTTGCGGCGATTCATTTCACATGGACGCCGCAGAATGGGCGCTGAAGCCTGACTCCCACGATGAGATTCTGCTTGCTATTTTCCGTCGCGACGTCGCTCGGGCTGCAAAAGCGTGGACCCTAGCTGAGATGGTGGACGTCAATACTGAAAACCGCAAGTAGAATCGGGCATTAGAAATTGGTGATGGCCACCAGTAACAATGATCAACATCTTGTATGTACTGTTTACACTTAGCCTACTTACCCCAATCAAGCTTCAAAAGTGTTTTGAGGCCTGCACTTATTTCTTAGCCCAATTACCGGGTCAACGTTTGGTTTAGGGGCTGCTGTAGCTTGAACGCGCTGACGACGAAAAGCAGACAAGTTTGAAAGAGCAGACGACAGTTCGAACGCATGCGAAATGGAGTGCGGGCAAGAAGCACCGCGTCCCGCGTCCACAAACCTTTGGAATGTCATGTTGTCGGCGTCTGTGTGAGTCTGCATACTCTTTTTCGCGTTGGAATTGTCGAATCTACGTCCCCATAGCATGGTATAACTACTTTAATCGCCTGAGCGAAACTATCAAGGCTCGTTACACCGCTAAACTTTGCGTAATTATTTTGACGTGCGGTGATTCATTCGCGTGAACGCCACAGAATGGACGCCAAAACCACGATGAGAATCTTCTAGATATTTTCGGTTGCGACGTCGCTCGTGCTGCAAAAGTGTAGAAGGTAGCGGCGATGATAGACGTCGATACTGAAATTCGGAAGCGGAAACAGACCAAGCGTAACAAGTCGGTGACGGCCACTGGTACCAATGATCAACATCTTGTATCTACTACTTTTTACACCGAGCCTACTTAAGTCGTCTGAGGCCTGCAATTATTTCTTATTGCAATCACCGGGTCAAAGTTTGGTCTACGGGCCGCTTTTGTTTGAACGAGCAGACGACAAAAAGCAGACAAGTTCGAAAGAGCAGACGAAAGTTTGAACGATCAGGCGGCCGTGTGAATTTGAAGACGCACTGAACCCGCCGGTGGCCTGGGCAACTTGGCAGTTTTTTCTCGTTCATGTTGGAACAAAACAAATACATCTGGCGACCACAAAGTGTTGCCTGCACAAGCAATCGTAGTTTGACAGCGTCTGGTTTACCCTTTTCACGGCTACTATCCACGTACTCGGACGAACGGAGCGGGCAGAAACACATGAAAACTGACCTCAATCCTTTCCAGACTCTTTTGGCACAGCCCCCGTCGCAGCATTTTGACAAGAACGCAGGTTTTTTGTCTGGTTTCTCCAAAAAGAACTCAAGAATGCATGTCTCGCACGGCGACTTCTGCCCACCACCCCAGACCGGAAGTGCGTCCGACGCGCCACCACCGCGGCGTGACGTAGGAGAGTTGAGTTGGTGTATAGGAGCTGCTAAGATCACCATCGCCGTACCCTGAGCAGCCGTGTCGCTGGAAAGAGACATTTGTTCAGAAGGCAACAGCCTCTCGCCGCTCGAAGGATTCTACCTCAGCGTCCCTAACTACTCTAGTTTTTTGATGCTTCTCTTTAAAACGAGTGAATGCTCGTTCTGTCAACAACAGAAAGGATAAAATCTAAGTTTGGAAGCGTTGACGTTCCCTCGCTTTGAACCAAAACAAGTGTGTCAGCGGTGGCCGGGTGCTGACGTGTCGTTAATTGGAAATGCGATGTTGGTTTTTGTAAAGGGATAAAATAACGTTTATTTTACTGGAATCACTTTGATTACACGAAGAGGTCAATTTTTCGCGTCCGTTACGTGGCATGCATTCGGACGTTCTTTACAGAGCGGTTTCTTCTTCCCAGGCAGGTGCTATGGGCAAGGTTCGATTCTCCGAGTCGCGCTGGCGAAGCGTCACGTGTTCGAGGATATACATTACACATCCCGCCGAGGCCAGACAAACAAGCTCGCCCAGCTAACAAGTGGCAAGGTTATCGCAATATTGGACGGCGACCGTCATCAGAAAGAGGTCGCCAGCATTTAAAATTCCTGCCTGCTTGTGCTGTTAGTGTGAGTTTCCAACGTGCAAATGTGACTGTACCCCACTCCGCTGCTGGAATACTCTGGCGCTACAAAGTACACATAAATAAATAAATAAATGATCAGTCTGAACAAGTGTATCGTTGCCGAAGTTTATAGAGGCTGCTAATTATAAACAGCTGTCATATACTAACAGTGAAACACAAAGTCACGACAAACTAACACAAAAGTAACAACCGTTAATCATGGCAAGTAACGACACCGGCATTTCGTAACGTCTGCAAAATCTTAACGGAGCTCTGAAACACGTTAGCTTTTTTCCAAGCCAATGAGTAACACTATTTCACTACTTATTTTAAGTAACGGGCATAACACTGCCGCCCGGACATGGGTGGTGTAAATAAAGCTTTCTCTCTTCCTCTCGCTCTCTCTTTCTGAGTAGTCAACAGCAACGTTAAAGGTCGGAAATAAATTCGAGAAACGCGAAATGTTCCGCTTCTGTCCAAAGGTGAAAGAAAAAACGCAATCAACTTGGATTTGCAGGATTTTATGAGGCATCTGTGAACGGTCAATAAATACAATATTATAGATATTGTAATGAAAACCTACTTCTTCCATAGCCCCCCCGCGTCATCGTAAGGACATCATTCGTCCTCTTCATCGTTACCATCATCGTCGTCGAACGCCTTGAGGCGGTCTCTATCTTGCAATATACGAGGCAAATTCATAAAACTGTCCAATCCTACATTGAAGGTGCACGTAATAGAAGGCACCCGCTCTCCTCTTTCTTGCCGGGTACGATTAAGGCTTGCGAGCCACCAGGGTCCATCCGAATCGCTTGCCTCGATCTTCTAAAATAGGACCGTCATAGTCTCCGGTGCGAAACCTCTTGATCTCGAATCCCGCATCCGTCACTGCCTTCTTGACAATTTCTTTGGTGAGCACCATCATGGGAAGGGGCTCCTTGCCCACTTCGTACCAGGTGATTCCTCCCGTGCCGACTATGACGAGAAAACCTCCAGACTTCACTAGCGAACCCATGTTCGCCAGAACACGCCCGAACGACTCTGAGTCTGCCGTCGCCGCCTCCAAACAGTTGCACGAAAGAACGACGTCGAACGTTTTCCTGTGTTCCTCTGGAAGCACTCCTGGCTCCAGGACGTCGCAGGGGACCACCTTGCTGATTGCACGACGCGCTCGCTCCATGATTTCGTAGGCCCCCTTTTTGGTGTCCCTGAAAATAAGAATGGGCGAACGTATGCTCGCTTTAAGCCGATCTAATGTGCATGTTGGCGGCACTGCAATGGAATTAAGACTCCACAAAACTCTCATATTAGCGTAGAACCTTCACTGAGCCTTGAGGAGAAGTCATAAAACTAAACGCTTTCGCGTTTACTTTTGTTTGTTTTTTATCTGTCTAGTCTGAGGCACGTATATATACTTCGCCTAACCTTAGCGTCGACTATACTCCGTTCACTTTTAAGCTGAGACTATATTCCTTTCACCCTTAAGCTGAGACTAGACGCTCCGCCTTCTGCGCAAGCTTTCTGCCCTTGCTAACAAAACTGTGAACGCGCGGGCATGCACAACCAAAGTACTGCGGAAGCCAGCGAGCTCGCGGAAGCCAGCGGAGCTTCTAGTCAGCTTATGCGTCAACGAAGTATGACTGCGAAGGCTGTGCAAGCGCGAGCGGCTAACCTGACTGCCTTGAGTGGAGCCCTTGCATGCTGCACGAGCACTCGTGCAGCCGCAGGTTCTTCATCCAAAGTAACTAGCTCGCGCTTTTAGCATGCGTGGACAACAATAGTCCATGCTAAGGTGTGACTATGTATAGACCCCTTCACTGTTTACAAACATGAACCGCCGCTTGCGTCCCAAGCGACTTCCGGTCGCTCCGTTTTTGCAAGTCTCTTCAGCTTGCTGATGTCGTCAGTGCTAGAAAGCGTTAATGCTTCACCAAGAATAAAGTTGGAGATTTAACGGCGGCCTTGACTGCACAAAGTCATGGGGGAGACACGTTGGTTTAGAAGAATATTCGAAAAATTTTAACAGATCTTGCACTTCGTTCTTTTGGTGTTCACTTTGAGAATTGTAGCATAGTTAAACGTTTCATCGACATTCCAAGCAGCGGTGTTAAAGCGGCTATATAATAAATTTTGGAATACATTTTTTTAGATTAGTATTTTACTAATCGCGTATCGCTTAGAGGGCCAAAATGAAGATAGCAGAAAGTCAAAAGCGTTATTTCTTTTGCTACGAATTTGAAAATATAGCAAACTATTTCGTACCCTCTTTCAAAGCTCTCCGCCTTTAACTATGATACATCCGCGGCTCCCAAATCAAGTCAGCGGTGCCAAAATGACGTCAGCCGACCCCAGCTCACGCATTGGACACGAGCACGGTGTCACTCGGACGTATGCGCTCGTCAACAATCAATGCGCCGACAAACATTTGTTCGCGTTCGTGGCCAGTGAGGGCCGTGACGGCACTTGTTATCACTTGACAATGACAAGTTCCATGGTGCGCTTAAAAAGCACGGTGGAATCATGTGCACCGCAAACACATCACGACCACGTGATTTTTTTTTTATTTCGCTTTTGTGTTGAGGATTAAAGCAAATAAGGAAATAGGTTACATCTGAACAACTAAAAAAGATACCAAGGTACCAGAATGCGTTTTGCTCTGCCCTGATCTAGCCACAACAACACCCCCCCCACTCCCCCTCCGCGCATTCCACCTCGAAAGATTTCACCGGCAGTTTGGTCAATGGGAGGAGCGGGCAGAGCCAGAGCAACGTCTCAGACGCAGAAAGAGGGCTGCGCATGCTCTTTGCCAACTAGAAGCCGAAAAGAGAATCCCCTTGTGGTGGTAGCGAGAAACACTTTTAATAAATGTACAGGAGTTCAATGTAGTAATTCCTCGTTGCTGAAAATACGGTGCAAGAGATGTTTCGATTACAATCACGCAGAAAGATGGAAGAAACGAATGTGACGCTCGAATTCTGTTTTGCTTGGAGGGAGCTCGAGCGCTCAGAGGGCAGATGCCCGGCCCTTGGCACCTGGCGTACGGATCACGTGCCGTGGTCGAAATACCGTGTGCACCAACGACCAGCAAGCTTCCCGAAATGCGTCTTTGGCTACGTTTACATGTATGCGACTGCAGCGCATCGGATCCAGCTAACGAATCGAATCGGTCCATCTAAACAGCTCGGATCGGATCGGATCCGATTCGATCCGATCCGCTAAGGCGGGTGGTTTGAGTTGGTCAATTTGAATCGAGACTCTCCACGTATACGCTAACGGACCGAATCGAGTGCTCGAGCGAGGGATTACAGGAGCGTTGCGTTGCATGCCGCCAGGCAAACCGGACACCTCGGAAACAATCTGAAGGTCACGAGGTTTGCGTTGTGATCGTTCGACACGAGGTGCCGCTACTGGTCGATCCGAATCTATGTAAACGTAATGCTTGAAGTGGATCCTATTCGCGAAGTGGATCCGATTCACTATCTGGATCCGATGCGCTGCTGTCGCATCCATGTAAACGTCGCCTTTGGCAGATCAGGGCCCCTTTTGATCGAAGCGCTAACCGCGGCTAAAGTTAGCCGCAGTACCTAGGAGAGGGATTTTGACATCACGTGACTGGCTCGATAGGGATGTGGGGAAACATGGCGGTGCCCCGATGAGTGAGCGCCGCTCGCTTTGCAACTAATATGTCGCTGTAGCTGCAATATCGGGCGCGTTAGTCAGAAACGAATGGTGCAGGAGGCTTTCGCTTTGCCTTACCTCACTTGAATCGCAAAGCATGAGCAATGACCTCGCCGCATTTTTTAGATAGTCTTTCGATTTTGGCCATTCCTAAGCCTAAATGAACGTGATAGTTGTCGGAATGGCAACGTCTTTGGAAAGTGGATGGGTGGAAGCGCCGTCATTCGTTGTGGTCGGGGAGAAACAAAGGCACGTGGACGCATTTTGGGGAAAACAAAAGCACGGGTCCGCGAACGGCAGACCTAATTGCCCGCCGTATATTTTTACTCAACGAGAGTTACTCCGACGCAGTTATTAATTTTGTTTCTAGCTACCATCGCCAGAGTATTATTCGCGGCTTCTGGTTGGCCATTTTTGAATTTGTGACCGAGTCCTGGAACACCCACAGGCAACACCACATAGAAGACAAGGCCGTAGTGCTGATATTTTTGCGCCATCAGCAAAAACCAACGCTGGACGTAGATTGGAAACAAGTGCTGTGTCAGCGCTCGGCTTCCAGTCAAGTTTGAATGGATTGTTGACAATCGTCGTATCCAATCTGTGCCCAGCGTTGGCCTTCGCTGATGGCGACGTGTCTATCAGCACCACGGCATTGTCATGTAGACAGTGTGGGCCCACTCCGCTTTCGGCCAATGGCGTCACATCGTCTGCCTCCTATATTTCCCAATGATGGCCAGACTCTCCCTATATATGGCTCTGACCTGAGCACGAGCTGGTGCTTTACTTCAGCGTCGCGTCGGGTATCTTCACCCGGAAACGTGGGAAGATGACTAACCAGTGCTTCGATCGACAATTGCTGTTGAAGCTCAACGAGATGTAAATGACAAAAACAAAAACAAAATTTAAGCGCTTTGAACACATGGGTGAATTTTCGATTTCGTAATAAAAAGTAAAAAAAAGAAAAAGAAACGTGAAAAGTAATAAATTACTTTCTGGTGATTTTTCACTTACTTTGTGGTGCAGTAATTGATTACTGTAATGAGTTACATTTTTATATTAAGTAATTTTAATTGTAATTGTTTACATTTTTCAGTAACACGTACAAGACTGATCTGCATGCATAGACTGAGGCCTGCTTCGCCATTGTTTAATGGTCCGGTCACGCTGGTCACACAAAAACTGTCTTCAGACTGTGTTCAAGGCATAAATATGTATTCTATGATCAGATATGCTTGGAATATGCATTAGGCACGTCCGTATATAATTCTGTAATGCATGTATGAAGCGAAGGCAGTCTCTTTTGTACGATGTATACGAGAAGTGTGACAGCGGTTCAGGTCAGCCTCTCAGTTTCTTATGGGGGTCGTATACGCACCGATGTCCCTCCAGGTCGGCAACTTGTTCCGCCCGGAACAACCAGTCGACGGAGTCTTCGCTCTTCCGGAGCCATTTCTCCACTTCGAGTCGGTTGCTCTCGACCAGGTCACTGACCACGATGTCCTGGAAGTTCTTGGTGGCCGAGAGCACGAAGTTGATCGTCGGGCCAGAGCCGATGTCTACTAGTGTGCTGCCTTGGATGAGGCCTGCAAGAAATAGACGTACGCGCGTTTTAAACCATGAAGAGCCGTAAAACAAAACTCAAGATAGAATGTTTTTTTTTGTTGTTGTTTTTTTCCTCAAACGTTAGTATACAGCCACCACTTGTGGACAAACTTGCTGACTGAAGTAGCTCATGGACAACGCAAATTTTTAGTTGGGTTTATGGTTGCTTCACACACGGCCACTCGATTAGGACTCCCCTTGGGAGCGGCCTGCCGTATGCCTCACTCCGCCGGTGAGAGCGATAGTTCTACTTTACTCCGCAGCGCCAGCCGTGGCGCTCGTTATCGGTGAGAGATAAGGCCCTGTAGTAAGAGATAGAGTTCCTTTTGGGGGAGCATATCGAGGAAATCTATCGGGTTCGGTCAGTGAAAACACGCGTTGGTTTCCTTTGGATGACGTCAAAAAAGCAGGGCTGCGGCCTTGTTGCCTAAGAGGCGTTGACCCATGACGTAGGAGTGATCGCAAAAGACTTGGCGAAACTGAGAAACAGCTGACCTGAGTTGAAGATGTGGTGCAATTCCTCCTGTTGGAATCGGTAAAGTACATAGTTCTCCGTATTTTTTATGTATTTTAGTGGAAGAAAAGTGGTCTTGTGCACCTCTCTCAGGGCTTCAGGCTTCATTGCGAGCTTATCTCCCATTTGAATGAAGATGTCTACAGACTGAACTGACGCTGTGCGAGGCTTCAGCTAGATCTGCCGAGGATGTCGTCACCGTGGTGTTTATAACGACGCGTGCGGCCACATGATAAGAGTCGTCGCCAGCTGCGTCGAAATGCAGCAGGACGGATGCGCGTCTTTAGCAATTGTTAATCACCGTAAAGCTGGCTGCCACGCAACGCATTTTCTCTGCCCCATTTATTTTTCTTTATTTACTTTTTTGGATTCTATCCGGCATAGCCGGGTGTTAAAGTAGGGACAAAATGAATTTCTGCCTTACGGTCCCCGTGCCCCCCCTTTCAGTGCGAAGTATTGGGCAGGAGATCGAACTATAGGGGGCGCTCTAACCCGTTTGTTTTCCCCACGCTCGGCGTTTACTCAACACAAGGCCTGTCCATATGCCGACAGGCCTTATGGGCATGGCCCTGTCATCTTCTACAATAGAGCGCGGGGCATAGTCTAATGTAAAAAATACTAACAATCGACGAAGCGACGTTAAGTGCCAGATCTATCCTCAGAGAATGCGAGCTTGACCCACTTCGGCTTTTGTGCTGAGCTGAGATCGTGCATGCTGCATTGTTCATGCAGGCCGTAGTGGAAACAAAAGAGCCCCTCCTCCCTCTCGCCAAACACAAATTCCAGCCGAACGCTGACGCCGCGTTTGGTTATGTCGGCCGAGCGCTGCGTCATTGTATTTGTTGTACCCATCCGTGTAGTTGTAAAGTTAACCGCTTGGGGCATCACGGTCTGTCTTCCTCCCCAATACGACGAGAAGGTCTTAAAAACAGCGTCTTTCGCGCATTGGAACGCAAGGATGAGCATGCCAATCAAAGGGCAACATAGAAAACACGTACACTCTAAGAAATGCCTGCACGCCTACTTACCCGTAAAACACTCGAAGAGTCAATCTCCGTTATCTCAGGGTGTCTAGTCAATTATTATTTTGAAATTCCCTGATTTTTCCAGGCTTTCCCTGACATTTTAAGGGGAAATTTCCTGACCGCTGTAGAGGCGGTTAAATATATAAGACCGTTACAACACAAGGCATTGAGCATTGAGCACTGTGAGCATCAATTTTCACGGGCTTAACCCAACTTGCATATTCCGAGATATTCGGGTTCGTCCAGTCCGGATTAAACGAGCACTTTCTTGCCGCCGACATCGTCAGGGAAGAGGCCACTTCCGGAAACACAATGAAAACACGAGGCTCAACCGTAGTAAATGACGGCTACCCGTGAAAATAAAAGGAGAACCTACGCAGGCCTGTGGAAAAGACGAGCGTCTTCCATGACGAGGTGGGGACCGGCGGGGCCCGGAGGCGCAGGAAAGGCCCCCCGGAAGAAAGAGGCGTCCGACACGGATGGTTGCTGGTAACTTACTCATTTATGTAACGGTCAAACAACAGGGGGGTCAAGCAGCACGGGGACGCAACCCTGAAAACACGGGCGCCAATGTGGTATGTGGTACCACCTGGCTAGTGTAGACAGTAAATGCGAAAATTTTAAATACAACAGTCAACCGCGCACGTCAATAACCGAATGGCAGCATGGCGCATGGCCGCCAAATGCACACTTTCGGATACTTTCGGCTTATTGCTTGGAATGAATTGGGGTCTGCGGCTTTCCCATTTGTTACAAATTCTAGCAGCTCTAACTAGATCAGGCCTAATGTCGTGCCCTCAATCCAATTCAATCCCATCCAATCCAATCCATTGAAATGCAATGCAGTGCTTGGACTGGATTTGCCGGCCCTTTGCATCGGATAGCAGACTCTATCATCGAGTGAGCAGAGCCCGCGCTCGGCTCTAAGCAGAATTGATTGCCTATTTTTTTTACCCCGAAGTCCTCGAGTTTTTGCTCAGGGCACTCGATGGCGTTTCCGGCTTATTTTTCCCGACTGGGCTCGCTTTTTGACAATATCCCCGATAATTCCCTGATCTTTCCCGGTAATTAAAATTTCCCTGACAATTCCCGGTTTTCCCGGTTTGCCAGGTCGCTAGACGTATCTACGAAATCAGCTCATCGAAAGCTGGCCTTGTGCGACAGCTTTTTCCACACGCCGCCAGTATCCTGTACTCCCTACTTGATGCAAATAAAAAACAACAACAACAATAGCAATTGAAGTGACAAAAGCATGTCCCGCTTGGCAATCAATCAATCAATCAGTCTTTACTGTTGGCCTTAAACCAACGGTGGAGCGAACGATGACGTGAAGTGAAGCGAACGGAATAAGAGGAAACGAAAACTGAAGGTCGATTATGGCGGTGCCCGTGCACAGCTGTTTGAAAGCGTCTATATAGGAAGTCTATACTCTCAGGCTCTGCTCACAGATACGAGCGCACCTCTGCGTGGCAATTTGATAATTTAGTCCCATCCAGGGGAAAAAATACCAGCCATGCGGTGGCCAGAAAAACAGGTTTCTCGTACAAACCTCGTTAAAGTAATATACGTTTCAACAATTAGAGCCATCTGTGCTAAATTCTCATTTTTAACTATTTTTGTCTACGTTCCGCTTTTTGAAAACAACAGCGAGAGAAACATCACCGTTCATTGTCTCGATTTGCTGTAGTGGCCGTGGATACAGTCTCATGGAAGTCTCTGCGGCGGCGCTGGTCAGCGCTATATTAAAGATTTGCTTTATAAGCGGAGCACCCGATTTGAACGAGCGCCCGAGAAAGAACTTGCACTTGCAGCAAATCCGTGCCACTTCTAATAATTGGGGTTGTGGGGATATTTATACAGCGTGTGGTTGGTCAGCCATTTCGAAGTTGTGATGAGTCACTCGCTGTAGAGGACCAATTTAGCCAGTGCAGTACAACCACTGGCCTGGGGTCTTTAACGCGCTCCATGCAGTAGTGATACACGACCGCACGCCGGTACGATGCTCATCCAGATCGAAACGGGCACGGGTGGGGATTGAACCATGTATCCCGGGTTCTGTAGCGTGAGGTCTAAACATCCGTTTAGATCTCAAAACGAAGTCTGCGCTGAGGCATTATTTTATGTTGTCCCGGGTCCTTCGATACAAGCGGCGAGAAGTTTCGGTGGCGCCCTCGTTTGGTTACTTTTCGTGACGTCGTTACCTTGGGAACAACAAGTTCAATGGTGTTTGTAATGGGCATGGTGGAAGCCTGAAGTCATAGCGCTTTCAAAGCAACACTGACCGTCAAAATTGAAGTTCCTACATTCCTCTTATTTCCATCGATGAGATATCCTTTGCTGACGTCATTGTCAGCATTCGGCAATTATGGTGGGCCGACCACAGCGACGCTTTCGATCGCTCACGTCGCCAGTGCGGTATAAAGAAGCACAATCGCTACTTACGCGTGCACTCGCTCGAGCTCCCGCGTCGAAGTGCATACTTGTCACGAAGTGGCACGGAAAGCTCACGCTAAAGAACACAGGATACTGGGTTCAATCCCCACCCCTGCCCGTTTCGATCTGGATGAGCACCGTACCGGCGTGCGGCCGTGTATCACTACTGCGTGGACTGGAGCACGTTAAAGGGATACTTCAACGAAATTTGAAATATTCCCGTCGTGTTCAAAGATAGGTTGAATGTTAAAACTTGTTGTTGGCCTAGTTGGTTCATGATGCAGTATAGAGTTTTTTTGTTTTTTTTTTGCGCGACACGGGGGACAATTACAAGCGAGTAGACACGGACAAGCGCAAACTTTCAACTACTTTATTCGTGCGCAATCGACCACGAACATCCAAAAAGAGCATGCGCAGCGCGCTACACAGACGAAAAAAAAAAACCGAAAATAGATAGTAAAGACATCCACCAAGACACATTCTACGATAGTCATTATCGAACCAGCAACCCGGATAAAAACTGCACTTCACTTTCAAACAAAGAAACCGAGGTATCGCTAACACAGGTAGCCACTCTGAAGTCTGCCGTTTTCCCCTGCTCGGTCATTACGGCGGTTGCTGAGACGTTGCTCTAGAAGACCAAGGAAAAGCAGAGGACGCGGCCAGAGCCGCCACAAAGGAAGTGTAAACCAGAAGTGGTGCCATATATACATAAAGTGTCCCACAACCTCAAGAAGGTAGCGAATAGGTACAATGTACGTACCTTTCGTATTCTCTGCGCCACGCAAGCTTGCGGGCCTTTGCCCGAGGATTTCCTCGGGAAGAGAAAAGACGAGTGGCTGCAACAAAAAGCATGCCCGACCGTTTGTGGATTGTGCCACAGCGGCGGTATACGAGATTCCGCTCTCGTGTGGGAAGGTATATATTGGTCAAACTGGTCGCTGCGTTAATGACCGCACACGGGAACATGAATTGTCGATCACGAATAAAGGCAATGCACACTTGCCTACTCACTGTGCCGACTGTGAGTGTGATGCGCGATTTCAGGAGATTAGGATCTTGGGTAGAAGCAAAGACAGCACAGCCAGAGAATTAATGGAAGCTTTTTATATAAAGAAGAACCATGACTGTGTTAGCGATACCTCGGTTTCTTTGTTTGAAAGTGAAGTGCAGTTTTTATCCGGGTTGCTGGTTCGATAATGACTATCGTAAAATGTGTCTTGGTGGATGACTTTACTATCTATTTCCAGTTTTTTTTTCTTTTTTTTTTTGTCTGTGTAGCGTGCTGCGCATGCTCTTTCTGGATGTTCGTGGTCGATTGCGCACGAATAAAGTAGTTGAAAGTTTGCGCTTGTCCGTGTCTACTCGCTTGTAATTGTCCCCTGTGTCGCGCAAAAAGAAAACCTCTATACTAGGTTGAATATGATCCACAATATCCGTAGATGACAATCGCACGTTTGTAGTTTGAGCCTAGTGGCTGTATTTTTCGTTATAAACGGCCCACTCTGGCAAGCGCTCGGAGAAGGCCCAGCAAAGACCACGTGACATCCAACGCAATCGTGACGTAGGTCGTCTCAGGGCGAGCAAAGCTACGGTGAGGCTGACGTCGAGAGTATGGCCTAGTCGTTCCAGCCACCGAAGTGGCTGCTT